CCAAAAACAGAAAAGATCAAGAAGCAGTAATGCATGCATATTATTAGACACATAGAGGTAGCCACCAAAGACATTGAAAATGATTTTCTTTTAGGGTGTGAGTTATGGGGATAGGGGTTGTGGAATGCTCTTTTTTATAGCAAATCTTGTCCTATGTTGGACTGTTCATATGAACTGTGTTTATATATAACTTTAATAAAAACTAAAAATTAAGAACTGTTAAACATTGGGGCAAGACAGTATTTTAAGTCCTATTGGATTCTTGTAGTAGGGCCAGGCGCGGTGGCTCATGCCTGTAATCCCAGAACTTGGGGGGCCGAGGCAGGTGGATCACTTGAGGTCAGGAGTTTGAGACCAGCCTGGTCAACATGGTGAAACCCTGTCTCTACTAAAAATACTACAGTTAGCTGGGCGTGGTGGTGGGCATCTGTAATCCCAGCTACTCGGGAAGCTGAGGCAGAAGAATAGCTTGAACCTGGGAGGCAGAGGTGGCAGCGAGCCGAGTTCACGCCACTGCATTCCAGCCTGGGCAACAGAGGGAGACTCCATCTCAATTAAAAAAAAAAAAAAAGTTCTCATAATAGAGGATAGTGAAGGGATGCAGACACAAAGGAGAGGCTACTGACCTGTTTTCTTGATTGGAGTGCTGATTGCTTGAGCGTGTTTCTTTTGTGAAAAATCCTCAAGCTGTACATACATGATGTGTGCACTTCTATGTATGTATTTTTTACCTCAACCAAACATTTACTTACAAAATGATAAGTAACAGGCTACATCTCGTGTCAGCGGCTTTAGGTACAAATTGTGCACTTCACAGTGGTACTCCAGAGTGTAAACATTAAAGCTCCTGGTGGCCCAGTTGGCGAGAATCTCTTCTTTTTGGCATCCTTTGTCTCCAGGATTTCTGGGCATGCCCAAGGAACACGATGCATGCCTCAAGTCAGCCTTGGCATGACTGGTCCCCACAGCCACCTCTCCCTGTCTGAGTCACGCCTTGCCATTTTTACAGGCTCTTCCATGCTGCTGCCACAGTCGCCTCAACATTGCCCCACAGTACAGACCCACGTCCAGAGGCACAGCCTGATGAGCAGGGTGGTTGGCAGGACAGGGTGCTCATAGAACAGACATCCCCCGCTCCGCCCCAGACCCTTTGAGGACCTTTCTGTGTGTATTCCCAGATTATTGCCACCCTGACTACTCCTGTCTTCTTTCACCCTGTTATTACTGTGGATCAGTGAGTGATAAATGGTGTTAACTGTCTTAATATTTTGTTGAAAGTATCTATTTGGGAAATACAGCAGGTCCTCAAATAACATCATTTTGTTCAAGGTCATTTTATTATAACATGATAATATTATAACCTCCCTACATTGTGTGCTTAAGGTGATACCTCCAGCTAAATATCCAGCCAGGTCTGTCCCTGAAATCCCCAAGTCCAGCAAAGACCAAAGGAATTAGACACCAGGAGATGAAAGCTGTAAATTGGCAATAAAACATATCTGTACATGGATTCCCTGTTCCATGCTTGAGACAAAGGCTACAAGGCTCTTGCCACCCCAGCATTGTCCTCACTCATCTCTTCTGGTAAACCTCGGTCGTCGTCTTCTCCATCATCATTATCATTGTAAATTCAGCAGAAATGCAACACTTCCTGTGGTGCCAAACATCTTTTATGTTATTATGCAGAGTAGTTTTCTCTTTCCCCAAACTTCCAAATATTACATTTTAATGCCTTATGCATAACCAAAAGGCCTATTAAAATATTTTTAAAGAAAGCCAAACCATAGCATTCCCCTCAAGACTGTCATGCCTACCTCCAGACACTGAAAATTGTCAGCAATCACCAAATAAGCTTCTCTATCCTCAGAAAAACCCAGATCTCAGCAGGTGATCTGGCTACATGTGAACATTAAAGAGTGTTCAGATGATAGCCAGGCACAGTGGCTCACACCTGTAATCCCAGCACTTTGGGAGGCCGAGGTGGGCAGATCACCTGCGGTCAGGAGTTTAAGACCAGCCTGGTCAATATGGTGAAACCTTGTCTCTGCTAAAAGTACAAAATTATCTGGGCGTGGTGGAGCGCACCTGTAATCCCAGCTACTCGGGAGGCTGAGATAGGAGAACAGCTTGAACTCAGGAGGCGGAGGTTGCAGTGAGCTGAGATTGTGCCACTGCACTCCAGTCTGGGCAATAGAGTAAGACTTCATCTCAAAACATACAAAAGAAAAGAAAAGAAAAACCCAGATCTCAGCAGGTGATTTGGCTACATGTGAACAGGAAAGAGTGTTCAGATGCTAGTAGGTAGACAGGGGAGGTGATGAAATGGTTCCTACAGTGTGATTAAGGACTCAGGACTCACAGGAGAAATACTTCTCTG